GCATGCTGGCTTAGCCCACTGTATGGATACCAGCATGCTGGCTCAGCCAACTGTATGAATACCAGCATGCTGGCTCAGCCCATTGTATGAATACCAGCATGCTGGCTCAGCCAACTGTATGAATACCAGCATGCTGGCTCAGCCCATTGTATGGACACCAGCATGCTGGCTCAGCCTACTGTATGAATACCAGCATGCTGGCTCAGCCTACTGTATGGATACATGTACCAGCATGCTGGCTCAGCCTACTGTATGGATACATGTACTAGCATGCTGGCTCAGCCTACTGTATGAATACCAGCATGCTGGCGCAGCCTACTGTATGGATACCAGCATGCTGGCTCAGCCCATTGTATGGACACCAGCATGCTGGCTCAGCCCATTGTATGGACACCAGCATGCTGGCTCAGCTTACTGTATGGATACCAGCATGCTGGCTTAGCCTACTATATGGATACCAGCATGCTGGCTCAGCCCATTGTATGAATACCAGCATGCTGGCTCAGCCCATTGTATGGACACCAGCATGCTGGCTTAGCCTACTGTATGAATACCAGCATGCTGGCTCAGCCTACTATATGGATACCAGCATGCTGGCTCAGCCTACTGTATGGATACCAGCATGCTGGCTCAACCTACTGTATGGATACCAGCATGCTGGCTCAGCCTACTGTATGGATACAAGCATGCTGGCTCAGCCTACTGTATGAATATCAGCATGCTGGCTTAGCCCACTGTATGGATACATGTACCAGCATGCTGCCTCACCCTACTGTATGGATACATGTACCAGCATGCTGGCTCAGCCCATTGTATGGGTAGCAGCATGCTGGCTCAGCCTACTGTATGGATAGCAGCATGCTGGCTCAGCCCATTGTTTGGATACCAGCATGCTGGCTCAGCCCACTGTATGAATACCAGCATGCTGGCTCAGCCTACTGTATGAATAAAGCATGCTGGCTCAGCCTACTGTATGAATACCAGCATGCTGGCTCAGCCCACTGTATGGATACCAGCATGCTGGCTCAGCCCACTGTATGGATACCAGCATGCTGGCTCAGCCAACTGTATGAATATCAGCATGCTGGCTCAGCCCATTGTATGGACACCAGCATGCTGGCTCAGTCTACTATATGGATACCAGCATGCTGGCTCAGCCTACTGTATGGATACATGTATCAGCATGCTGACACAGCCTGCTGTATGGATACATGTACCAGCATGCTGGCACAGTCTACTATATGGATACCAGCATGCTGGCTCAGCCTACTATATGGATACCAGCATGCTGACTCAGCCCACTGTATGGATACTAGCATGCTGGCTCAGCCAACTGTATGAATACCAGCATGCTGGCTCAGCCCACTGTATGGACACCAGCATGCTGGTTCAGACCAATTTATGAACACTTTATGGATTTTATCAATGGCACCCTATCCACAGAAATAAATCTTTGATAATAATAAAAAAAATGCTCGAGCCAACAGTGGCATTTCCCAACATCATAACAAAGAAATATACCAGGTAAACTAAATATTTCACATGAAGTGCAATGTCGCTGTGAAACGTGATTACAATCAGCCAAAGAATGACATGGACATGGCAAAAGAAGAGCATCCATTGTGAGCATCCATTTATTTTAATGATTTTTTAAAGATTGAAACAGCCGCCATTTGGCCATATGATGTACAGGAAAACCTGTCACAATCAATAAATTTGTAATCAGAAAAGCGAAAAAAAACCTAGGTGCTTCAAAAATATTGACCGAAAAAGTCTGCCAGTGTATTGGAATTTCAAAAAGAAAGCCTGGATGACAAGTGTTTTATTTGAGGAATATCCTCGTGATCTAAACAGCCTGATGCGTCATAGACAAGGTTTTAATTTTTTTTTCTCGACAATGCCACCTCAAACTGCCCAAACATTTGGCTGCCTAACATCACATTGAAGTTTTCCCCTGCCAATACAATGTCTGTGCTACAACCGCTTGAACAAAGAATTATTCAATACATGTATTTAAGAATGAATACCAGCATGCAACAAAAAACTTTTATACGCTCGGTTATTGCAAAGATTGACACCACATTAAGTGACAGCGAAGTAGCTGATAAAGTTAGAATGTAATCGGCCCAGGCATGTCTAAGATATAGGTTGGTCCGGAAGGAGAGATGCACGCACAGTTGTACAGACGTACACACAGTCCTTGAGCAACTAATTTATATTTCTACAGTATATTCCACCATTAAAGTGTTATTCATTGAGTGTTTTGGTTGCACAGATTCATTATATTGAGTCCAAATCATATATCATTATTATCTGTCTTTACATAGATGTACACACAATAGCTTAGCTACTATTTCCATTTCTTGTAAAGTGAGTGGAGTGATGTGATGTGATGTGATGTACTAGTAACTAACTCACCTCTTTAGCCTCTGCAATAAGTTTCATCATACCAAGTAAGAGCACTGGTCCCATTGGTGTTACCTTGGCATCAGTGCAGCTGACACACACATGGTGTACAAACTGTACTGCATTTATACGCAACTTAGCATTGGTATTAGTACCAAATAAACAATCAAAAATAATCTGAAAGAAACAGCATTCAGCTATTACTAGAAAACCTAGAAATGTTACGAGGGCTAGGGTTAGGGCTTGACACAGTGACAACAGACAACTCACTTGTCTTAACAGGTTATTATTTAAAGTCAACATAAATTTCTGACAAGTACTCACACATTGATGTTCACTGCATGTGGTAGTAGTTGATTACCGACTGAATTCAAATCCCACAAAAAATTAGGATTATTTTTTTGGAAAAGTCACATTTATTTCAAATATATACTCACCTGTATACATGAAGGAAACTCATCAGCTACAGCACGTGATTTCATTAAGAATGGAAACAGTTTCATTCTGATTCTGGTGCTGGCAGGCATTCGTCTGTCTTCTGGTTTTATCTGGAGATTCTGAAAATTCAAAGAATGACATAGAAATTTAATTGATATTGTACATTTGTTTTATTAAGCAGATCAACACAGGTGTTGATAGGTATATCAGTAACTTAATTAAAACAATGGCTAGATACTTCTAGCAAATTAAGTAGGAAAGCTGTTTTGGGATCAGAGGTAAAATACTTTGCAAAGGTATTCAGGAACAGTTAATAGTCAGGTATTGATATCTACTAAATCTCATCTTAATATTTAGATAATAAAGGGTCTTGGAGGAAAGAGAATCAGGGTTAACATAAATTAGTACTTGAATTGTTGATCAGTCTTAAAGAAAATGTATGATACAGAGTTTGATTAAACTGAGCTTGTTAATTGCTGAGAAATTGTTGTGGTACATGTATTACTAAGCTAGCAAAGTGAACACTCACCTGCCCCTTGACAACTACAGATCCTTGGAATATACTGTACATCTTTTTTATTATCACAATATCATTCCAATCAATACCACTGCAACAAATAGATATGCCAATTAGATTAATAATGCCACTAAGGGTCCATGAATTATTAAAACTGACACACTGACACAGAAATGTAAGTCATTTGAATTCCCGAATTACTGTCAGATGCAATACAAAACCTACCCAGCAATGGACTATGGTAGGACAAAAATATAAAAAGTCAAAAGAGCATCCGTAGACATGCAACCCGGAAAAAATCCGGGGCATATTTTAAACAGTATTTTAAAGATAGCGAAGTGAGTATGGGTGGGTACAAACAAGAGCAGCTCGAAGAACTATTTACCAGATTCTGCCATAAATTTGCCCTGGGCCGTTAAACGGCAGATTGGGTTTAAAAAAAAAAAATTTCGTCAGTTTTTTAAGGTGATATTGTAATCTTTCCGGATGGCTAAAAGCTTTACCGTAGTCATTGATGCCTATTCAAGAGTATGTTTAGTTATTGTTTGTTTGTTCCTATTAATATCTTTTTAATTTTTTTTATTACTTCCTTATTAGTGTATTAATACTGTATACTTTTACTATTATCTGTAACTATTGCCACTCCCTCCGGGGAGTAAGTGTTAATAAAATAAAAATTGTGTCACGTGTGAATGGGTAAGCTTCGTTTCGACAATGAGCTATTATCACTGTAAATAATGTTAAAATTATTCTTCAAATGCTCTGGTTATTTTTTGAAAAAGATACATTTTTTTTATTTAATTCCGCTTTCCCATCAAAATCCAAGCCAAAAAATCATACAACAACATCGACAAATCTCTTCCGTGTTGCGTTCAATAACATTAGCATATTTAAATCAGCAATGATATCATCCATCATTTTAATTACTAATTAGTGATTTGACCAGGTCAAAGAACACCATCCCAAGTCAAAACATGGCGGATAATCATTTCTACAGCATCGATCGTTTAAAATGGGATCGGAATCATTCACTCACAATCAAATAAGTTGAAATTTATTTTTACAAATTTAATAATTTGTGCACATCATTATATTCACTACTGAGTAATAATCAACAATTGTGAAACGCAGCATGACCGGATTGCGCTACCGCAATCATTTGCTGCTAGTACTAAGCAAAGGGAGAAAATGGACTGAAATAGAGGATGACATGTATGCATTTGACAGAGTAAGAGTTTTTCTACTCCCAAAATACCGCAAAAAACATAAAAATATTTCACTATAGCCAAAGATAATTTGCATGCTTGTTATTCTTGCTCAGGCAGAATAGTGTGCAAATTTTCAGAGGCTGGTACGAGTTAGTTGAAAGATGATGGCAGTTTTATTTCAGGGGAACTTTTACGTTGCGAGTTGGAACGTTCAAAACCTGTTCTACCTTCAGGTTCATTGACCCCAGGTCACACGATATGCGCAGGCACACAAACAATGAGCATGCAAACACTATCAATTCGGGAACCAGGAATAAGGGAGAAGTTGGTCAAAGTTAATTTTGCATTGTTTGTGTCAAAATTTTAAAAAGAAACAAAACACAGACTAGAAATGGATATGAATGAGTGTAAACATAATAAATGTTATACAAAGAACAAGCAATATACAAGTTTAGTAAAAATGCTGAACTAGTACATTGTATATGACATGTATCGTCACAATCAGCATGAATGAATGAGAAATACCTAGTGAAATGCATTCTGGGTAATATGGTGTCAGACACCAGAGGAGGGTACTATGTACTTAAATTAGTCTGAGAGAGAAACCAAGCAAAATTATGATACACACAGTCTGAAAGCGAGAACATATTTACCTTTGCATACTCTTTAACTGTAAATCAGCAGCAGTAGCAACACTATATCTAGAATCAGAACTACCAACTATAAGATGACAAACTACATCTTGTGGTGGTAAAATATCAGCACCAAGAAAACCAATCACACCAACTTTATTCTGCAAGAATAACATTATTTAGCAACATCAACTACACATTTGAGTGGAATGTGTATTAAACAGTTTTTTAGCCAGACACACATTTATTTAATTCTAAGAAGTGGATGTGTAGAGCAGTTAATCAATATCCAACTTTAATATGTGAAGGAAACAAGTTTCAAAAATCACAAAAAAATATGACTAACAAAGACATTACAATGTTGTGTAAAATCAATGAGAAAGAATTGTCAGTGACACTTTTAGAGTATTACATGCTATATTTAATGATGTTGGACAAATAAACCAATTATTATACATCTATTACACAACAATAGAATTTATCTGTATGTAAAACATTGCATGGACACATCACATTTAAACACTATCAGTGAGTAAAGAAAACTAAATACAGACACTGAACGCAAATGATCACACAGTCAAAAAACCTTCTTTATTGCCATTTTGGGATGTTATCTTCATTAAATTATTACTACAAGCAGGAAATAAATGATATGCCACCAAATGAATGATAGTTTTTTTGGATTATCACAATACCTTTTCAATATGTTCCGGATTAGGAATAGTATCTCCTAGTAGTTGTTTGACATTATTCTGACTGAGTCCAGGAACAGTAGTAGCAGTAGAAGCAGCTGGAGCAGAACTTGGTCTAGATCTACTCTGTCCCCCTACAGCTCCTGGAGGCTCAGGTGCAGCAGCAGTAGTTGGTCTATCCTGGGGTGTTGAACTGAAACAAAACAAGCACAATTTTCCTGTAGATGTAGATGTGTACATGTATCAAATTTGCTATATTAGAAATGCATATTTTAACACATACAGTACAGCTATCGCGGAAGGTTTGGCGTTTGGCTTCATTGTGGCCTCAGCATCGCATCATTGTGGCATCAGCTTCACGTCATTGAAAATTGAAGCTGTGTTTGCCGCACTTATTTTGTGGCATGATCGTGGCCTCAGCTTCACAGTCTCATGGCATCAACATGGCATCAGCTTTAAAGTATTGTGGCATCAGTATGACCTCATTATTTGCACACAGAAAGGCAGTAAAGAAAAACAAATGTACAGAAGATCAAAATGTAATCGATCCTCAAGATCGAGCTTGGTACAATCAGTACAGCGCACCTTACTAAACTTGGCGTGATCATGGGGGTGACAGTATTTCTTTGCAAAAAAAACAGAAGACATCGCTTCAGTAGGACTTTTTATTTAAATCACAATGAGGTAACAGTGTCGTTGAGAACTAGATGCAACAAAAGAAAGCTGGTTGCCATGACACTAACTTTTGATGGCACCACTAGCCAATGGTAGCTATGGAGTTTCATAACACAGTTGTTACTTTGTACTAAACCTGGTCAAAGTAATTCACATCCGTTTTGTTTACCAGATTTACTCCAGTGTAGTTTCAAATATAAAACAAGCCATGCATGGCACAGTCCCTGTAGGAGCCCGTAAATTTGAACATAATCATTCAAAGCAAGTCAGAGATATGGCACTAGAACTATAATTCATTAAAACAAAACGGCCACCAGTCGGCCACTTTGAATCTTATCTGAAAAACAAAATGATGTGCATCAAGGTCCTATAATGTGTAACGGATATACCAATTTTGAACAAAATCCATCTGTAAACAGCCGAAAAAATGCTTGATTTTGATGATATTTTAGCACAAAAATGGCCACCATTTGGTCATTTTTTATATCTGTATATCGTTGACATGATCTATAATAAATATTTAAAATTTGAACATAATCAGTCAAAGCAAGTCAGAGATCTGGCACTAGAACCACATTCATTAAAACAAAACGGCCACCAGTCGGCCACTTTGAATCTTATCTGAAAAACAAAATGATGTGCATCAAGGCCCTATAATGTGTAACGTATATACCAATTTTGAACAAAATCCATCTGTAAACAGCCGAAAAAATGCTTGATTTTGATGATTTTTAGCACAAAAATGGCCGCCATTCAGCCATCTTGAATCAGATCATATGTATAATATCATGTATGATGTATGTGTGAAGTTTGATTGTAATTGGTCTAAGCATTTCTAAGATACAGGTCCGGATGCACGCACTAAGCAGGGAACTAAAAAACATAGTAAGATGCCATTATGTTTTTAAAAACTTGCCAATCGAAATTTTAGAAACCAACACTCGATCTTCCTCCTCCAATCATTTAGATGAATAGAACTTGCATATAAGACAGCAAAGAGTATCTATAGGTGTGTGTATGCATATACGGCTAACTGTGATACTTCTCAGCATTGTTTACATATGTAAATTACTTCTTTGTTTCATGAAGATGCTGATGCTACATTGTCACCATAATGAGGCCACAATGAAGCAAAGCGATAACTGCCTCAACTTTTTGTTTATGCGAAGCTGAAGCCATACCAATGCCATAATGATGCAATGCTGATACCAAGCTGAAGTGAGGCCAAAGCTTACATGATACTGTACTGTATATCAAATCTGTGAATTATCACAGTGCATCTACACAGCCACACTAATAGACAGGCAGGGTTACGACGAAGACTCCCATTGTGTTTGTGCTTCACACACAGGAGTCAATAACAGTCAATAACAACCAATTTTAGAAAATCTACGATTTATATGAACTGATAACATCCATTTAATTTACATTGGCACATGAAAGCATATGCATTAATTTGGTTGGAGATGAAAATTCTCCCACTCTTGTCTGAATTTGAATATATTTGAAAAAAAACATAGCCAAATTTCTTGTAAAAAGTTATGAGCTATATGTATCTGTATCTGAATAATCAGTAGTTTGAGTACAATACATACCTAAATGTATACGGTAATAGTAAATAATCCATCATAAAATTCAGCAGCATTTTCACAGTTGCTGGTTTCTCACTGAGACCAAACATACACTTTCTTTTATCAGCATCAGGTGGGTATTGGACCTTGTACAGAGCAGGTATCAATAACTGCAACAAACTATATGCAAATATGCTATAAGTCACCTTTATCTCAATAGAAGACAATGTGAAGAATGATAATGCAAAGAAGAAAAGGAGGTGGTCTGGATTGCTGCACTACTTTTATTAGTTTTTTTATATCATCAAAGAAGTACCCCGGTAGGAGTACCATAAGTCAATTTAAATTAGTCTTTATTTTTAATATTTATGACACATACAACATTGGCCAAATCTTCCCATTGAGTCATGTGACCTTATATTATCATAATAAATTTCACTGACCTGTCTTGTTGTGCCATTGGCTTCCCTTCTAAACACTGTACGAGTGTTGGAGCAAGTTCAGCCTGCTTTTCAACTGTCATTCTAGGATAGCCCATCTTGATGTACAAAATGGTAAAATTCTGAAAAACAGGAAAACACTCTGAATTAAATTTTAGAATCATCAGTGGATAATCATGGAAAACTCAAAAACACTTTTTAACACAAGTTTAGATGTTCAATATTCTCATGAGTTGCCAGTGATAAACATTAGCAGCATAGAAGACCTATTAATTCAAATAACATCACAATGATATGAAATAGTTGGATTTTACTTGATTTATAGACATAATATAATATTTATCTGGATAGTAAAATTCATCATGTGCTAAGATTATTTGTCTCCTACAATTAAGTTACACAATTTAAACTAGATAAGTACAACAGTTTTAATGCCAAGATTACAAATCACACCCAAACTTTGCATTCTAGAACTCATTTTCAAAGTCACACTATTGTAATATAATGTACTAGATGAGCCAAGTAGCTAGACAACAAGATATAAACTTACAGTAACAAATGTGACTGCTGCAGGATCCTGTTGGGAAAATATATGACATTATGATTAAGCAAGCTCTGATACATGTATCAGTTTTCTGACAGATGAAATATACTTTATATGCAACAAATAAATTAGAACTACCAGTATATACAATTTACAAAAGCCCAATTGAGAACTTTATAAATTACAATATACATTATTATATTTGTGTAGGTCAATAGTAAATAAGTGTCACCTGATACTGCAGCAACAATGCTTCCACGGGTAATTGTATCTTGGGTCTACTTTTAATTCTTTTGTTGATATGCACTAAAAGCTCCATAACCTACAAACAGTAAGAAAATAGTTTACATAAGTTTTGCATTGTATCACACTTTGTGTGCTTCAATACAAATGGAAACAATGGTTTATTTCAAAATATATCGGTACATGTAATAAACAAGTATATGAGCGTACAGACCTCTTTTATGACATGTTTAGTGTCTAAAAAGTTTCTGCCATCCTATGATCGTCCTTTTTACCCATTTTTGGAGTGTACAAAGAATTTGTGTTTACATCTTTTAATTTTACTTTGAAAAACAAGAAGCACATAAATAATTACCAGTGACAGACCAAGTTGGTGACCTACATATATTATTATTATAACATCATTTGAACCATACAACTATGCAAAAAATCACAATGACACCAAGCATAATTGAAACAAAAAAAAATAGATTGCATTAAAAGTCTTACTCTCTTCTTCCCTAATAGTAACACCTTTCTCCGTTTCATAAGCCTAATGAATACTGAATGATTTATTGAACTCATTTACATACCGGTAATTTGATCTGAATAAAATTTAGATGAATTCAAACACAAACATCTATTCAAACAGTTTGACAGGATACCGTTATCCATAATCCATAGAATGAAGCCAGATGGCTGACAAACACCAGACAACTTCAATATTAAGACAGCTTATACCAGACCCAGACCCAGCATCCATTGAGTTGAAAGAGGTTGAAAAAGATGCATTGTACCTGGGCATAATGAAAATTGAGGAAGTTCCTTGGGAGCTGTACAAAATCACCTTGTCAGTATTTAGGCCAGTTAAGGTAGCGAGAAG